CGCTCTTCATAGAAAAATGAAATATTTCATTATAGAACAGTAGTGCATACATCATACTCCTGAAAAGCCAGCTTGTATTTTAAACGACTAATGTTTGAAAGATCTGAAGGTCAAAACTGCAGTGACATGACCCTAAAATTTTGGTTAGTCTTTTTTTTTTACCATTTTATATATAAAGTATACTGGACTTCACTTAAGTGTTTTTAAAAAGTGACACTGGTGAGGGGCAAGATCGTATTTTTTTCTTCTCAAATTAAACACAACTGGCTTCCTTTGTACAACTTTGGCCAAAAGAGTTCCATGTAGTGAAGGTTTCAGAAATACTCTCTCTATATGCAGGAGTCAGCCAGTTAATGCTTAGAGGTAATCTACCAAAGTAGGCACACATCCTCTGACTTTCATATCAACCAAATTACACTTAACTTGCAAATGGTTCTGAAATTAGAAAGTTTACTAGTATACTAAAACATTTAGATACATGAATAGCTGGCTAAAACAGTGAAAGTCACAGGTAATTATATAGGTGTGTGTAAAGCTGAGTTGTTTTGCCCGTCACCAGTGTACAGTACGGCTGTCCTCATCTGTGAAAGGTGTGCTTTGACTAAGCTTAGGGCAAGAAAGCTATTGCAGTAGACCTGTCCCAGTCACCTTCCACATAAGTGAGATAAGATTGAACTGTATGTTCCCATTCTCTTCTAGGCATAGGTTCCGCCAGTGATGAGAAGTTCATAGGCAGGATCCCGACTCCTCCTACATAGTACTATACAGGCACACAACATGCCCAGAAGCTATGGAGAAAAAAAAAAGAAAACAAGCTGAGTACAAAGAAGGTACTTCAAGAGATTTAACCTCAGCACAGAAATTGTCAGCATGCTTCATAAGACTGTCTGTAAGGTAAATTACAACCAATGCATTGACAGAAATTGTCAGCATGCTTCATAAGACTGTAAGGTAAATTACAACCAATGCATTCTTCTTGAAAAAGCTTCATTTCCTGCTGTAAAAAGCAAAGGCCACGAGCTCCAGCCTTATTTTCTTGCAAGATTGTCTTTGACATCTCCACAAAAGTTTCTTGTCAGCCACTTGTATTCTGTCTCAACAACTCCAATGGAAGAAATTATTGATTTTATGAAAGGTACAGATTTAGATACCGTATCTAGTATGAAAAATCAAAGTGAAATTCAAATGCATTAGCCTCTAATTGCCATGATGAAAAGGAGCAAAGCTTTACAATTTTACGAACTTACTTCACCACTGAATCTCTTCCAAATGCTCAATCTCTGTTAACATGTCATATTAGAAAGCTTAAGCCCAATGTGAATTATTCACTTTGAGACACTTTCCTGCTGTTAAAATTCACCGTACCATGACTATGGTGGCAAGTTCGTCAGGAATTTAAGGTTTGATCACCTTGCATACATTTACAAGACTTAAATCAGATGAATGCCATCAGGGATGTAGGGCATGACATCTTACAAAAGTTGCATGTTTACTGAAGGTAGAGTAAGACTGTACCTACTCAAAAAAAATCAGGTATAGCGTGTCCTATGGTCTACAGTAATTGGCAATAGCTTCTATTACAGTAAGAGTATGGATTGATTTGGTCAAAGCATAGAAGTTTATTCAGACACAAATATTTCATGAGGCTCCTGTCATAGCTCTGAATTATAAAGCCTCACCCAGAAGGTAAATAAGTTTATAAAAAAACTAAACCAACCCAAAAAACCCCCTCGAACAGAAAGCAACCAAGAATGAAATGGGTGAGCAGACAACCAAGCGTACAGCTTGATACAACAAAACTCCAGCGAAAAGACAGCACTGGGACAAGAGGAGAAATGCTTTTTTAATAAAGTCTGATGCAAACTTCACATGTGTAACAAGTTTTAAAACTAAATGATGGCACATGCAACATAGTAGTACTCAAGACCGCTGAAAGACTGAAGAGAGAATGTTTTCAATATCCTAAGCCTAAATAAACAGTGATTAAAAAGATGCATGATGAAATTCTAGTATGAACTTTTAATTTCCTGTAACAGAACAAGCTGTAGAGATTAGTAATATCCTTTGTCTGCAGTGCGTTATCTGCTTTGGATCTACAGCAGAAACCAGCCCAGGTTCAAAAAAAGCATATGGAGAGTAACCTAGACTATGGCACTTCAGCCTGTTGGTAAAAACAGCATCTTTCTCCACTCTCCATCAGTACTTGCGTGGTTCCAGTTCACAGATTAACTCCAATATACATTATATTCATGTCAGAGTAAGAGAAACACAGTTACACGAGAGAATGACTCTTCATGGGCAGAGCCCTTCTAAGTGAGGAGATAATACTCAAAATTAAAAACACCCTTAAGTTAGAATTGTGAGATGGAGAGTTTGTGGCAGTTGCCAGTGACTACAGAACTCTGAAGAAGGCTCACAGACTGCAAGTCAGAGACTTCATCTTTTTCCCTCTTCAAAATGAGGATAAAATGAAGAGTGTGCTGCACAAAAAACCTCCTTTAATAATTTGCTATAATTCATTCCAGTCATGTGTTTCAAATAAATAAAAGTAGCTCCATCGCATTTGCAGTTATTCACAAAGATAATCCTGATCAATGACTCACTCAAGACATTCAATTTATGGAGTTGTGTAAAATCTGAAACAGTCAGGTACTGTAATAAGAACTCATGTAATCAACTTTTGAGTTACTATTTAAACCACTTACATCCTTTTGGAGGCTAGTGAGCATATTCCTAGAATTCACTGTAAACACAGAAGTAATCCCTGTATTTCAACTTTCTCTACAAAAATTTATGATGTCATTTTTAAAAATACGCTAGCACCTCAAACTTTTTCTAAGGCATTTGATTCTGTTTCTGTTCAGTTGTTACTTAACATTATGAACAAAACTATTTTGGAAGTCTGTGTTTAGGAAGGATCCATGCATCCCGCTCTTCAACTTTCAGAAACATTTAAACCTATCTGCTATGGTCAGAAGGTTTGTTTTGGGCTTTGTGTGTGTGTGGTAGTTTGTTTTCGTTTGTGTTCTGTTTTGTTTTTTTTTTTTTTCCAATTTTGCTAACTATATTCAATTTCTTTTCAAACCCGTTTGCTTTTTTTGGTACAAAAAGCTCAGTGGCTGTGCATACATGCCAAGTCCAGCACCTTGTAAATGATCAGTAACTACAAAACCTATCTATCAAGCAGCACTTCCACTGCACTGCAGTGCCTTCGCTCCCTTCAATCTGCCTCCTATTTATTAATAGTTCTGTGCTGTCACAGTGGTTGAGACCAGGCAATTATTGCACAGTGGAAGATCCCCATGGTAACTGAAAGATGAACATACCCAAAATTACTTCTATGCAGAAAAGACAAAGCTTTCAACAAATTCCAAGCTTTGCAAAAATTCTCCTCCCCTTAGTCTTTTAACTTTAAAGACAGACATTGTCAAATGCAAGCTATTAGAGGTAATAAACTCTGGACAGCCTTATTACAGAACATAACAAATAACAATCGGGTCAGAGCGGACTCTGCGCAGCAAGCATAGGAAAGGTAGTAAAATTCACCAAAAGGTAAGAAAAACATAATTACTTCTCTAAGTTTACAAGACACAACCTAGGTTACAGCTCATTTGCTGAAGTTTACATTCTTACCTCCAATTCAATTAGCCCACAGACTATTTTGCAGAGAATCAGGCTAAATACATACTAAAATTCTGTATTAGAAATACAAGGATGTCACAACTTGTATCTTAAGCTGCAGGAGGTAAGTAACAGAACAGTTTGAATACTGTTTACTATCAACTTGAGTGAAACCAACATCTTTTTAAAACATGTGAATTTACAACCATTTGAACTGTGGAGCAAAGAACATGACCTCTGATAGATTTTAATATGATTACCGCTCAGTGAATATTACAAAACAGAAATTCCAAGGGTATTCCCAACACCCTGTATTCTGTATTTATCTTTATTCTATTAATTTTCTAAACAGGTATCACATAGCTTGTTTTAACTTTAAGCAGAAAGATTTCAAAGTGCTATACTGCAGCATTAGCAAAGAAATTTCTCTGATGTTCTTTTTTTCTTGACAAACTGTTTATACAATATGTACTTCCTGCCAACAGCTTGATTACTGACGTATGGAGACAAATCCAAAAGCACCCACTGCAGAAGGGATACAACTAACATGCTTGCCTAGAACTGATGAGCCAGGAATAACAGAAGGACACAAGCAGCCACATTTCCATTGCAAGCACGTGTCAGAAATCCTGGCCCAATCCCAGAGAGGATTAGAACTGTGCTGCATTTTGGGGCAGACCTATTAATCAACTTGCAAACTCCAAAGCCAGGAATAACACCTCCTCTTGGGATTCAGCTCACCCAGCCTCATTACATACTTTTTTTCCTACATAAAAAATCTGCCACAGTGATCATGGTCATGGTAAATAACTTTATTTACATTACACAAACATATTTCAGTGTTCAAGCAGACTAAATATTGCTTTAACAATTAAAATTTTAAGAATGGCAATTAAAAAATACCTTCCTTCAGAAGATTGAGCGCAGATCTCACCAAATTTAAAGTTCCATAGCTGAAGTAACCTGGTTCTGGACAGTTCAATAATATTACCGTATACAGTGTTACCTATGAGCATATCCTTGTATATCAGTACTTCCTCACTTACTTTTTATGATTACAGTAACTGCAAAAATTAAGGTTCATGTGGGAGACAGCCTGTGCTCAATTCTAAGTAGACAAGGTCTCCAGTTTAGTACCTCTTTTTTTTTTGCTTAAGTTCAGAAACTAAGAAACCTTCGAGACACAACACACAGCTCAGTTAAACAAGAGCAGAGCACGCCATCAAAAATCCTAGTGTATCTCCTGGGTGGTACTGACATTGTTTGTATGCCAAGAAGCATAGTTAAGCTGATGTACCTCTAAAATGGCATGAAGTATGAGCTATCAGTTTTAAAGTTGGACATCAAATACTGTGCAAATTCTTCAAGTGTTAAATGCCATCAAAGCACACTCATAATACAATTTACCATTTACATTCTAGCAGATTACTCCATGTAACACTGACTGTTCACTTATCTTCAAATCTAATAGATTATATCCACACAGTAGTAGTTTTCAGACCATGCATGGCTGAGTTCTATGTCAAAGAGTGTGACTGATGTGCACTTATCCCCCAAACCAAGTATGAATGAAAGGTACTATCCTGTAATAATCTGGAGAGCAGTTTAGAATTCCATCTCGGAAAAAGTTTAAGCTAAAGAATATTCTCTTACCTGAATAGCAGCAAATGCTAGTGCTGCCCAGATGACATACATCATAATCTCTTGGAGCTTCTTTACAACCAGAGCCTCACACCCCTGAAACAAGACGACTTCTTATATACACATCTGGCAATCACATTCAGGCACACCAAAAAAACCCCAAAAGCATCAAACAGGGCAGAAAGATAATCCAAACACTAAAAAAAGTCATTACTTAGTATGTCACAGATGAAACAAGGAGAGAGGTTTTTTCCTCTAGAAATCACACTGATTTCCTGTTAAAGCAAATACACCCAAGACTTCATTCTCCCACTAAAAAAGATTAAATGATCGTCAGCAAAAGTACATGGCTACATAAGTTCATACTTTGGCTGTCTCACCTCAGAATACAGGTCCATTGGGCGGGTCAAACTGCCAGTACAATTGCTGAGGGCTGCTTTGCAACAGCTAAGTGGCACACTGTTATTTTTAGTTTGTTTGAACCAGACAGTATTCTCCCAGTCTGAGTAGTTATGGATCCCGCAGCAGCGCAGCTGAAAAGACATGCAAGTAAAGAGGCAACGTGTTTGTCAGTCAAGAAGTGCAATGAGACAGCAATTCTAAATGCAATACCAAGAACACAAGCATATTAAGATTAGGCTACCTTTGTTATTTCAGTAACACAAATTATTTGACAATTACTTCAGCAAATCATAGACTGAGCATATTGTAAAGGGGCCTATAGCCTTAAATCATTTAAGATACTCCTTACAAAATACAGAACTGAAATGCCAGTTCTTGGGGAACATTCGACAACTCACTTTTCCCTCATGCCTCCCAGACAAGAGAAAAGCTTTATTTTTGGCTTAGAACAGCTCTATCCTTAAAGCATATAACAGATGCTTGAAAAAAACCCTTTGCTTTCTGGACATAGTTCTGGCATGAACCAGCATTTGCTCTTCTCACAGAACTGTGGTGCAGAATTAAAGTTCACTTTATATGGTCACGCGCCTATGTGGCCACATAGAAATCCTTCAGGAATGAACCAATTAAAATTAAATACAGTTCCATTCTGCTGACAGCTGATACCAAATTGCAGTCCTTGGAGTTTTCTTGTGTACAGTGCAGCCTCCAGAGGTACTGGCCTAAGTATCAATTTACAGGCTTCTTGTCCTTTTTCCCCTTTCAGGAGGGATTTTAAGCAAAGAATTAGTAGTATGACTGACTTAAAAGCATTAGACATTTAACATGTAAATATTAGACAACTCTTTAAATTGATGCAATTGTAAGAATATTGAAAGCTTCTGAATTTTCCTTAAGTCTAATCAGTTCTTTTACCCTTGAACCCAGAAGCTTGCAACACTGGCTTTCAGCTAGAACTGAGAACACTTTTTACTTCCAGCATGTTCTAGGCAAATCTGTGCAGACACAAGAACATTCTGCGACTTTCCCCTGCAGAAAAACATATTTGAATCCAAACACCAATTCATAGATAGCCAATTACACAAAATGCATCTCCCCATGAATGCCATAATTCTACTGATTTTAACAAAGTTAAGCTATTTTGTGACCAATCAGCTGTTTCCTAGATTTGTCAGAATAGAGGAAGATAAGCTACACAAGTAGCAGAGCAACACAGCATCTATGTTTTAAGGACAGAAAGGACTGTGTCTCGCAGTCTCACCTGCCTCTGTACGTAGTCAATAGCACGACTGGCTGCATCAGGATTTGTCCCATTATATTCATTGTATACTTTCTGAATACTGTGATCAACTTCATCCTCCACCTGAAAAGTATTAGGAAAGCATCTGCATTAGCACACCAACAGAAGTAGTACAGGTCTAAGCAAAATAATTTCACTTTAATCACAGCAATCCAACAAACCAAGGTAAGTCCCTATCATCTGAAATTAGCATACTTTTGTGGTACAGCTTCTTAAGATTCTAACTTGACTTTTTCAAAGATGTTGCTAGCTTGCAGCTAATGGACAAGAAAAAAACCAAAGCAGCTATCTTGCATTGGATTTAGACAAAGTAGCTTTGCAATTGTCTACATTTATCCCATACCTAGGGCTAAACTATAGCAGATGCTCTATCAACCAATGACTCCTCACCAGCCAGGAAGGGGAATCGTAAAAAGGAGAAGAGACCCATGGGTTGAAGTGAAAAGAGATTTAATGAAACAGCACTAATACCAACAAAAAGATACAAAGCTGTACTCAGCCCAATGAGTGTGTGACAGTCACAACTGACAGGAGAACAGCCCTCAGGAGCAGAGAGAAGCCAGAGGAGGAGCAGGAGGAGAAACCTCACCTATCCTCAGCCAACTTCCCCTTTTTGTGGAGAGCATACACCTCTCAGCCAACCTGGCTCAGCTGCCCTGGCTTTTGCCCCTCCTAGCCCAAGCACCTGGCTTGAAACTGCTAACAGCCTGCATACCATGGCTGGCCTAAGATTCTATCTCAGCAAAACCAGGACAGCAACATATCTTAGAAAGGAAATTGCTTTTATTATGACACTGTGGCAGACATTCCATGAAGTTAAATACATGCTCTTATGGAGAGCCCATACCTTTCCACTTCTTCCTACTCCTCCAAAGTTCCAAACCAAAACCAACATAACCATCTGGGCTAACTCATTCCATTTAGGACCACAAGGATGTAAGTCATACCACCTGCTCTTCCCATTCTGATTGAAGCACAGGTAAAGTCCGAAAGGCAAGGTCTCTTGGCTGACTATCCTACAGGGACCAAGCTCTCTGTTCAGGCCCCTCACGCTTCAAGAAACATTGATGGCAGTACATAGCAACAGCTACTGGAATAGCTCCTTAAGCTGCAGATGAGTCAAGCTGCTAAAGATGCTGTGAAGTACATCTGTTAAAAATGGATGCTACCCAAGAATCATCACTTGTCTCCTAAAAGGCATCTTATAGTGCTGCTTACTAGAACCTTTTAAGCAATATGTTTCACTGAAAACTGTTATTTAAATGCACAGAAAGTCTGGTGTAGGTGAACATTTGTACAATAGTAAGATTAGCTCTGCATTGATTTTTTTCTATCACATTCAACAGGAATTATATGCAAGGAATGCAATCTTAGGGCTGAGCATTAACTAAGCATGCAGATTCTTTAGATTTGCAACCTACAGTAGGAAGATGCTGCCAACACATCATTCCCTTAAACGCTTTAAGGAAGAATTTTCTGCAGCAATAGCACAAGCTTCATTCCCCTCCACCCAAGAATGCTGGTTATCTTTACAAGTAAATCTGTACCAAGACAGATACGAATAAAAGTCAATCTAGTCTGCACAGGCAACTTGTTTCAGACTAGTTTAAAATCAATTATTTGATGATTTAACTAATGTGATTTGTAACTCTCATTCATGTAACAAAACAGCTGTTCAATTTGTCATATCGGTTTTTAAATCACTTATTTCAGCACTTGCTTGTATATCATTTGGCTTATGGTTCAATTAGGGCAACATTACACCTGAAAGTCATGCAAATTACATACAATGCAAACAGAAGTCACTAGCTCTCACTAACTGGCAGGTTTTATGAAAAATGAAGAGTGAACTACTCCACCCAGGGGACAAAAAAAAGCCAGTAAGTTCTCCACCAACTGACAGCCTGTTTAATCCCTACTGCCATTTACAAAAAGCCTTACTTTTACTGACAAGGACCAAGTCTGGCAGATTGTGCTGCAGGTCAGTCTATCACAATATGACCCAGGCATGCTTCATGTTGTTCTGAAGGAGTCGTCTGAATTTGATCCACACACACAGGTTTACAGAGGCATGTTGAAAAATTAAGCGATTTGAAGCTCAGTCATTGTATCTTAACTTGGAAGGGCACAATACCACTTTCTTGAGAGAACATTATACTCTGTCTCACTTTGGACCAACAGTTTTGATGAACAACTGCCTGACTTCAATCTCTCCTTTTGTTTGTAAAGGAAGTTTGGAAGTTTGTACGGTTAACACTAAAGTAATTCTAACATAATTCAGGTGCCTTTTTTGAAAAACACACACACAGATCTATACATGCTATGTCAAACAACAGAATAAAATCAGCAAAACAGAGCTGTCTTGTTTATCCTGGCAAAAATAATCAGAAGTCTAAGCAGATTTCACCTCCCAGTTCACCGGTAATGAATTTATTTCTGACACTCCTATTGCACTTGAAAACAGTAGTTTTAAGATGCTAAGTACTGCAGGGAGTAAAAACCTGCCATTTTTTACTGACAAAACCCATCTGTCCCTTCAAAAGATTTAAGGTTTAGTTTTCAAATACCGACTCCCACAAACACCTTGACATGAGACCATGCTGCCACCAAAAAGAGACTACCTTCCTTCTTCCCCCAAGCTCTGACCCTGCATTACCTACAGCTCTGAAACTGTATGGCAGCAAGACATAAGTGAGAAGCTACAGGAACACGCAGCTGGGACCACCCAATTTTCAAGTGTTTAAAATACGTAATTTCAGATAGACTAGAGAAGAAAGATCCATGCATCTGCTTTTATCTGCTCTGAAAGCTGTTAACTGGAAAAGAGCAAGCCACTTTAAGACTAGAACACAGAAGAATAAGATGACCACAGCTTAGTCTGTATCAGATCCATGGTAATTCCTGAATAACTATACTGTAATACACTACGCTTCTGCAAGTACTGGAGCAGAAGGCAATCATTCAGGTCAACATCTAAATACTCAACACATTTCCCATTCTCCAGTAATTGTACTGTTCTCCTCAAGTGCTTCTAAGGACTACTTCCACTACAACCTTCAGAGTCCCAAATGATCTTTTCAGTGCACTGCCAAGATATCAGAGATGAAATGCAGACCATGAGAAAAATATATCCTGAATCTAAGCATCACCAATAGAGCATTTCTGTTGAAGCAACTTATTCTGTTAAGCCAGATCTATAAAGCATAGTTCAAGGTCCTCTTGTTAGCTGCTTACACAGACAGCCTTCCTTTGTAAACCAAGCAAAAACTCTACATTTTTACTGAATGATAGTCTCACCGTTTCTTTCAGGATAGCAGAAGAAAACAAGCACAGAACTAGTAAGCCCTGGGTTATTTGTATAAACACAGAAGGTGCTGTAGTTCAGCTTGCTATTAAGATATCACTGGAGTGTTCTAGAATGCAATCATACTACACATTACAGCTAAAAATGCTTTTTCTGCCTTTTTTTGGCAAAATTCAGACGTAGACATAACAAAAGCTAGCGAAAAGGTGCAAGTTAGACATTTCATTTCTTCAGGCTACATTGTGGCATCTCTAATACCATATGGTATATTTCTGCCACATATCATGCTGCTAGAAACACAATTAATTTCATTTTTCTGATCCTGCTTCTTAACTTCCATTAAACAAACAGTGGGAGAAGTCACAATTTTTTAGCCATAACCCTTATCAACAATCTGCCTAAAGCTAGCCAGTATACATTAATACATTCAATCTATTTGATTTTATCATTATGCATTGTTAGTTTGTATACTGAAACACAAGATGACATTTAAGTTACTGTGTATCAAAACAATATGCCCTGTGTTCAAATCCTGTGCAACCTAAATCATTTACAAATCAAAGCAGAAACAAATTAGAAGACCATCTGGAAAATGGAAAGGTATCAATTACCATGACTCCCCTCTACTGTTCAACTGTTAATGATATAGTCCAGCTAGGGTTTTTTGATCCTGAGAGAACTTTCTGCTTTTCTTTGAGGAATACTGATGTTCTAAACTTTAAGATATTGATACCTCAAATTAATCCACTTGGAGGTTTGGCTTTATTCCCTTAACAAATACCCATTAACAGTCCTACAAAATCAAATGCAGTAAAGACTACACCTCTATGTTTTGGTCACAGTTCACAACAAAATATTTACTGAAATTGAGAAGTTATTACCTTTGCTCTGTAGATGTATCCAAGAACCACCACCACAACTTCAGTGATAAAAACCAAGAGCAGGATGATCACAAACTGTAAAACACAATCAAGAGTGTTTATGCAAATAGTTCTACCCATTTACCTTCTGAAAGTCTTCATATAGATTTTTATTTAAAGTATTTAAAGTAATTTTTCAAGTAATGTTTTGATTTAACAGATCACTTAAACCAGGCAATTAAGTTGACCAAATAAGGCCAGAATTAACTTCATTCAAGAAACTTTAGTGTTCATAGCTTCACTAAGTAATAATAAGCTGCCCAGCCAGGCAAGTGCTGAGCATGAGGACTGAAAACACCATACTGGAATGCTTTAATCAAGCATTTCTTTCTATCTTCTTTCTGTTAAATAGGAATGTCACATCAAAGAGGCTACCCAGCCTGTTACTAAGAGTGTAGTAGAGGGACTAAGGGAATGTTTCTTCACTTTAAGCCCTCTAAGAACTGACAGAGACAGCAAGCTATGCATTTGCCTTGGTATATTTAAGAGCACTTTTAAAATAAACTGTTAAAGAAGTTTACACAGTATCCAACAACAAAAAAAACCCCCTGAAACTCCACCCCATGGGGACAGTTTAAATGCTGGCCTCTCTTCTCTCCTACCTGATTCTCAAGCTCAAGTTCCTGTTAAAATGCTTGAAAACACTCGACAAAATATGAAGCCATACAGAAAAATATTTAGGCATCAGAACAACCCTCAAGTTAACCTCAATGCAAGATATTTAAAACAAGAAGGCTCCTGGCTCACCTTTGTCCAATTTCAGCTTTTCAACAACAGATAAAAGTGAGATTTAAAAACTGAGTTAATGATACAGTTTCACAATTTTTTAATTAGATGACCACAGTTCTAAAAAAAGGTGAAATTGAGGAGCCTGCTGCTGTCAGAACTGGTTAATTTAACACCATTATTCAGAACAGAAAATTGAAGTAAGATGTTCATAACAAAATATAAGGGGAAAACATTTAAGGCCATAAGACTAGAATAAACTTTAAAAAAATAATTTTAGAAGTCTATTGAAAGGGAAGGTGGCCAAATATACAACAGGCAAACACCATCATATAAAATCTCTGCAACTTACCGTAGCAAGTCCACAGCGACTTTCTCGAATTGTAGCACAGCACCCAATAAGTCCAATAATAAAAAGAAGCGTTCCCACAGCTATGATGATAACTGCTGGAATTAGCGTGTAGACATCTTCGAAGAAGTGATCATAGTCATCATATGTGATGAACACATAGGCTCCCACGTAGCACAGTATGCCTGCTGCTGCCTACAATAGATAAAACAACATGGTTAAGGGTCTTTGAACACCAAACCCTCCTCACAGCAAGGCTACTTTGCAATAATTATTTTATCAAACACCATAAAATACTCTTCCTCAGAAATTAGATTTTTTTTTTTTCTTAAATGTAGACTTCTTTGCTAGGTTACAACAATGTCAAGTAGAAACATTTCAAATGGAGGGTAACCAGCAGCTTTCAAACTACATTTAATCTAGACATTAACTATGACTACACTATGGAAATCTTTCAAGGCACGTAGTCAAGAAATGAGAGTAACTGCGCTATGAACACCAAAATCTTCCTCCCTATTCTCAAGTACTTCCTTCCCATGCTGTCAACTAAACTTTCTACATAGTCTAACATCCACAAACTGTCTCATACTTTAAAGAACAAGATTCCAGCCCAGCCAACCAGCAAGTTATTTGCTATTTGACAGTTTTTCACAACATGTATGCTGTTCTTTTATTTGCCATTATTTACCTACTACTTATTCTTCCATTTTGCTGATTACTACCTATGATTTAATGTTAGAAAGAATAGTTATACACATTACAAACTTTAACCTCTGCTAGGCAAAGATGACCTGCTAGAAACAACAGCCTTTCTGAAGCGCTCACAGCACTGGAAAGTCTGCTTCTAACAAACAAAGCAGGTAGGAACAAATACAAAACACCAATTAAAGGACAGAACCAAATACCTAAAGACACATATCTCAAAACTTTTAAGAGATGTTCTCAGAAGGATTGTTGTACAAAATGGTCTTTATTAAACAAAATCACTTAAAGTTACTGCAAATAAGACCTGTAGGATCAATCTGCCACTATATAGATTTAAAACACTACGACAAAGCACTTGCATCAATCTGATATGACCTTACCTCCCTTACAGTTACAGGATCCCAACACATCAATACCTTCATTAACTTTACTCTGAGCAGACCTAGTGAAGGACAGACAGTTATTGCTCGAGGAGCCAGCTAACATACATTTATTTCAAAATAAAAGGGCCTTATCAATTTTTGCTTTGCAAATGTCTTTCATAACACTTGTTGCAGAATGAAACAGTCCTGCTATATATTAAAATGAAGCATTTATGTTTAATTGATTCACAATGATGGACCATATAATTTCAGTATTTCATGATGCACTTTCTGGTGTCCCAGCACAAGGCTAAGTGAAAACAATCCACTCAGAAGATGCAATGACTAAGCTACAATCTGCAGAACTTTGTTTTGCTGTAAAGGGTAGTGTCCCTGTTACAATCCAATCCATGTCCTGGACACAAGAATTCACTCAACTGGAACAATACACACTTCAGCTCCGATCTGAGGAAGAACATTGCAGGCTGCCTGCAGTTCCCACCCAGCAGCCTTGTAACTACCCCCATCCCTGCACTGCAAAGAGGAGGGCAGACAGACACACATACAGCTAGTTCCAGTAGCTATAATGCTAGTAGACTGGGTCATGCTATTGTAGAATCAAAGAATCAATTAACAATTCAGACCAGGAGGGACCTCAGGAGATCATTTAGTCCAATTTCCTGCTCAAAGCAGGGTCAACAATGAATTCAGACCAGGTTGCTCAAGGCTTTGTGTGAAGTCTTGAAAAATCTACAGATGGAGATTCCACAGCCTTGCTGGGCAACCTGTTCAGTGTGGCACAGAACAAGAGAAGCTGTAAGACGACTGGTACCTAGTATTTCAGCACTGTTTGCTACTGTGTACCGCAATATCACTGGAACTACTTCCTATAAAACAATACTGCATAAACACTACTAGAATAATACTTTACACATGGAATATCGCCTGTAGCACTTTGTTATAGAAACACTATGTCAAAGAAAAAGGTATTAAGAGCCAGCCCAAAAGTACCATCAGTTCTGTGTGGAACTGAGCAATATATTTCACCTCTCTGCCTCTCCTTCTGCAGCGAAGGTAAGCATCTACTCCACAGGAATTTTAGAAGTATCCAGGAGGCTCACATTCATCCAATAAAAGGCGCTACGTAGATATAACAGTACTGACACTGAAAATTCAGTAACAAGTCAAAGACCAACAGCAAGACATCTCCAGACAAGAAAATCTGAAGTGATCAAGCTATTACAAAACCGCCCCTTTGCGCAAAAGACATTGAAATGCTAATCCAACTATACAAATCCTGCTATGTTACGTACAACATGGCAAAATGCAGACATACAATTTCTGTACACAAAGCAAAGATTCAAAGTAGTGTCGCTGAACAATGGAATTACATTAACTGTTGCCTAGCAATGAAGCATGTGAATGACAGGACAGTGATGTAATCACCCATTTCGAAGAACTAAAAAGCTTGTTAGGAATACGGTATATTGCAAGGTGGCAGATGACAAAACAGCTGTGGCTGGCACGACACAGAAAATATACCACAAAACTGAAATCAGAACCATTTGTGAACACCTTTGTTCTTCCTCTGTTGTGTGAAATTTAAGTGATTTCCTTCTTTTCTCAGAAAAATCTGGTTCATAAACTTCATGAGCGCATATATTTAAATATATTTGAAACAAAAAAGTTTAACCTTTAAACCCCCCCCCCGTTCACAGGTGTTACCTTTCCTTCCCTACTTTAAGAAGCATATGCATTTTAAGAAACTTTGCTCTTCCAGTATTATGCCAGACAAGATGAGTCTGACAAGTACAGAGATTAAATATTGTCTCAGAAACTAAGAAAAGCCACACACTGTGCTTGTTTTAAAAAAAAATATTTTGTAATGACTATTGGAAAAGCAGATTTTTCTTCAGACTTCTCAGATTAAAGCAGCCTGGTCTGAAGACTTCACTAAATCCTTTACACACACTGTACTATAACGACTAATCAACCATGACATCATCTGGCCTCAGGTTTTGCTTCTAAAGAATGTTGCAGAACTGGTGTTTCTGTGGAAGAAACTACAGAATTTGAGGAACAGCAGTGTGCATTCATATGTCTATAAACCTTGAACTAGAATCATGAGGAAGCTGAAGATAAAGACATTGCCTCTACTTGATAAGGTATCTCAGAACCACTTCAACAAACGGGGCCAAAGTCCTGAAAGCACAGGTGCCTGCTGCAGCTTTCACAAGTTTTAAAAGCTATGAAGATTAAAACTCCTTTCCTGTGTGTCACCGTTTAACACTGTGTTTGAACAGGTACCATACCTAGTCCATCACACAATGAAAACAGCAACACTACCGAGTTAGTTTACAGTGAAAAAAAAGTTTCAAATGCCTTCCCCGTTCCTTTCACATATCTACAAGATGCTTAATGTTTTCTTCAGCCTGCTCTAAACTTGGAAGGGGGGTAGTCTCTAAATCGGCATTTTAGCTGGGATTAGGAAAGTGCTTTTGAAGCAATAATTTTTGCTCATCTTCTGATGATTTTCACTTACTACTTTTTGGTTTGCATCACTGAATAGTCTTAGGAGTGTACATCAGGACTCTCTTTTGATGAAACCAAACCAGAAGATGAGTGCATTTACTGTGCGAACTGCTAATAGGTCAATGGGACCAGACTAGCCTGAGGTTCTTCCTCCCTCACCACAACTCAGTAGTTTCAACATCGGGTCCTTAGCATAACTGGGTTTTGTTCCACCTCCATAGTACCGTGTTATATGTGAATGTAAATAAAGCATAAATACTGTGACTATCAAGACAAAGAGCTAGTTTTACCTATACAAAGTACGCAATCTACACTGATCAGTGCCACATCAGTTAAACACACATTTATTACCTGTTGCAACCCAAGAATAAAGTTGAAAATGTGGGTTTTTTTTTTTAAAAAAAAAACAAAACAAAAACCAAACCAAACAAAAAACCCAAAGACAAAAACAACTAAAAAACACAAACCCAAACCCAAAAACAACCAAAACAACACAAACCTCCAAAATCATTTGCTTCTCAAAAGTGGAATCATCTAGAGAAACTGAAATCTGTATCTTTGATACAAGGGTAACAAAAAAAAACCCATAATCAAAGCCTCAATGCTTATTATGCTGCAGTGTAAACAGTACATCTGCAAAAGTCCAAACTCGCTCGAAGATACTTGAATAAAGAGCCACCACATTTACAATCACGCATTTCCTATCATTAAATGGAAGCCAAATACATGAACTGTGCACTGTTCAAATAAGTCTTTGATAAACAGCGCTTGAAGGAAGAATTGTCAAACTTGATCTGCTCAAGGCTCTGAATAGAGACGGCAGCAGCTCCTGAATCTGTGCCAGGTCACATGCACGCTCTAGGGAGGCGAGTGGTTATTCAGCACTCACACATCTTTTTAGAGTTGTTAGCATCTAACTTGTACTACTGAACCTGAAGTGGCACACTCTTATTTTAGGATGAATTAACCTTTAAAAAGACTGACAAGACAAGCACAGTCAATAAAGACAGCTTGTTGCAAAAAGCTTGAACAATTAAACACCCTTTTCATCAGAGGAAAATTTTAAAATTACACAGAGCTCATAGTACAGAAAAAGCTCGCTATTATTGCTTTGGCATGGACCTCTTAAGGAGTTAATAAAAAAGTGAAACGAATATGCAAAGAACTGGATGGAAAACTGGAAGGCACAATCACACATGCAATGATAAACATCACAAACCATTACAGAAAAGCGTATTTAAAATTTAGGGTTCTCAGACTGAGGAAACTTGCCCCCCACCTTTGGGCTGGTATAATACAGCCTCTTAAGCCCATGCCTATTTCACAAAGTCAGCTTTCACCTTTCACATGCATGCAGGTATACAAGGCTACACACTGTCTAGATGCACCTTGAAAGAGTTTGGGTTTTTTTGTTTGGTTGGTTGGTCGGCTTTTTTCCCCCCAAGGAAGCTGCAAACACATACTAAGAACTGTTTTCATGTTTTCAGTAATGCTCACACACTGCAGGAGTTTAAAAACTAAAATTTTATCTAGCTAAGATGACAACTGTAAGATATTTAAACTACTTTATGTTGACCATTTATTTATCAACCACAG